TGAGTAAACTGACTGGGTTATTTACCTTACGTAACCCCAATACTGATGCCTTGGGATAATTCAATAAGGAGAAGTGTATTCTGGGGGCATATTCCTTAATTTTAGGTTTATTGCTTATCTGTGTGCTTTTAGTTTGAATAGACTAGTAAAATGTGTTTCTTCAGAGTGCAGTTCCACATTCATTTCTCCATTCATCTCCTCTCAGTTGCACTTATATGGCTGATCACATGGAGTCCATCTGAAAAATAGCTCAATTAAATGATCTGGGATTTAAAAAAAAAAAAAAAAAAAAAGTATAAAAGCAAAAAACCATCTGTAAACCACACCAGAACCACCACCACACTGTTACTGATCTGCCAGGAGACGAAAACAGAAATGAGCATGTTCATCACTTTTTCCAAATGCTGGCCAGTAAATTTAGTCACACAGAAGAAAGAGCACCCAGAATAATTTCACTTTCTTATTCTATTACTTGATGCTGAGAAATTTTCCTTAGATTCCAGGTATTCTTTGATATGATGTATTCTTCAGAGTACGCCCTGTGATTTTTTTTTTTTTTTTTTTTTTTTGACTTTTGCCCTCAGTATTGTGTTTCACATGTATGACCTCCCTGTCTTCTATCATTGTGTTGGTGGTAAATAGGGGAGATAGTTGGCCTGTGACTGACTAATGCTGATTGCAATTTTATACATGCATGTTGTGAATTCAGTGTGTGTGTGATACATTTAAAAAAAAAAAAAAAAAAAAAATCCTGAGTGGTTTCTACCAGCTTTATCTGGGGTTTGTTGAGGTGGGAGAGGATCATAGTAAAGGAATATTTGTACTTTCCCTGTGAGGAACAATCCAGAAGAGCGAATCTTTGAATTCAGTAGCTGTTACTTTTATATTAGCCACAGTTAAATTCAACTAGATGGTGCTTCAAACAGATTACTTGTGTGGATTGAAGGAGAGAAGAGTTTTAAAAGTGGAGTTTGAGACCTCCATGCAGCCTTTCCTGTGTTGGTAGGGTAATGTTTTCAATTACGCTCGGTCTTCAGCCATATAATATGTAATGCTCATGTGCTAGAGTAGTTGTACTTGCAACCTGTTTTATCTTGAATTTCTGATGCAAAGAAAACAATTAACTTGCTAGAATGTTTTGTCTCTTGTGTCCTACTCTTTCTCATGCCTCTTATTATATCATAGTCTGTATTATTGTTTACATTTATGAAGTGTTTCCAACCAAAGTGAAGTGGTGTTGGAACTGTTGGTTCTTGAGAGGTGCAGAGTGGTTCAATGGCAAGGCAGTGGTTATTTTTCTGTGCCATGTTTCAAGGCAGTGTTTGTCAACTGAGGGTAAGAGCAGCTTCTAACATTTGAGGCAGTTGCAGGTACATGAGCTGCATTGCTAAGGTCAAAATCCTAATGAAACACATTGATCCTGTATTTTAGGATCTAGCTTCCTGCCCTCCCTTTTTTTATTTTTAAAGAGTACACGGTCATAACCTTAGCAGCAAGCGCAGGAGTACATGGATGCACATAAACATTTGACCTGCTGAGGAAAGCTACTAATCTATTTAATCTCAAGGTCTGTAAGGAAGAGAGAATTATTTAATGACATCTTTTGTTTACTTTCTGTTGTTTATATAAGGCAGTCTCCTCTGGACTTTTCTGTTCTCTGTAGAGGTGTTTGAGGTGCTCCTGATGGTTAGGTTACCTTGGTTTGTTCCCAGCCCAGCAATTTTGAAACAGTAGTGTGGAAACAAGTCACGTGTGGAGTACATGGTGAGGCTTGAAAAAGGCTTCCTGTAATGGAAAGATAAGCCTTGATCCTCAAGCAGTTGCCCTCATTTGGCAAGCTCTTTGAGCTAACCCTGTTTCCTATTGCAATACATCTGGGTCACTGGAAAAATATGTGTTTAGGAGGAATGCGTGAGGTAGGCAAACCAGGTTACATCATCCTTGGAGCTTGTCAGGCCATGACTGCTTTCTAGCTTGTCCTGATTCTTGTTCAGGGGAATCCAGGTAACTTGGATGTTATTTTCATCCTGTTCATGCTCACAGAGAAGGGTGAGGGCTCTTGAAAATCATATTCTCAGTGTTTATCGGATTTGCGCCAGGTGACGTTAGGAGGAGGTAGGTCAGAACACTTGAATCATCTTTAATTCATGAAAGCAGTCATTTAGAGCACTTCTGAAGTGTCAGTTGCCTGTGGTTGCAGTGGAATATGCAGCTATTTATATAGCCAGAGCCATAAGCTTTGCCTTCATTGTTGTGTATTAAAGTTCTGGGTACATCAAAACTTGTTTGTTGGCTGGGGGAAAGGTGTGTGCCTCCGTGTTCTAGATGATAATGTGCAATATGTGTTTATACAGGAACAATACTGTGCAAAACCCATGTTGTTTGTTCAAGTATGGTGGGATAGCATCAAAACTCATAAGCATTGGTGGGTAAGTGCAAAACCTCCATCTCTAGGATTCAGGTGCCTTGAGGTTTTTTGTGCTTGTCATATCATGCCGTTGACTTAGTCCCATTTCCAACAGAACATAAAATAAAAATGGAGGAGAGAAAAGCAAAGCAAAGGTAGTATGAACTAAATAGAGTTCTGTAATTCTCAAAACTCACTGTTGTGAAGTAGTGTAGACAGGGTTTAATGGTCATATGTATTACTGTTTTACATGCCTCCTTTTGCTGGTACTATGAGAGGATAATTAAATCCCTATAATTCCATTTCTGCTCATTTTTTTTTTCTGTTTCTGATCGCTTGTGTAAATGATTTTGATACATGGAACGTGAATCCTTGAATGATAGTAATCAATCTCAGTAACAGGGTACTTCCTGCAGTGACTTTTAACCAATAAGGCTTTTCCATCCTCCAAGACACAAGCGTTCAACATATTCATCAGATTTTATCTACACTGAATCAAACAGAATTCGTATTCATGAGACTGTTTGCTCTCTTGGTGTACAGGTTGCCTTACCAGGCATAAATTAACTTTGATTTTTCAGGACATTTATTTTCTGTATTTTATAATTAATACCTTGAAAGCTCTGACCTAAGAAGAGGTGGTGGTGGATTCTAGTTGGCTTGAAGTGAAGAGTCAGGGAAAGAACTTCACTTGTTGAAGAAGGGAAAGTGCCAAAATACAAGTACATCGTTTTCTTGCATACATTTGCACATCTGTAGGGTTCCAGACCTGTCTGGTATTTCCTCTGCCCTGCTGGTGGTTGTCACTCCTCATCCATTTCAAAAAGTTTATTCTCCAGCCTGGTTTCCAGGTTTCTTCATATTGTTACCCAGTTCCTGGGATGGCACTGGGAGAGGCACCGGCGCAGGCAGGATTTTGGAGGTTGCTGCTTCTTGTCTGTGTTGAAGTACCGTAAGAGCAGACACAAGTTAGTGGGCCACTGGCATTTGCTTAGTGCTGGTGCTATTACCACTGTCACTTAAGCAATGATATTCAAAAAGAGCATCTTTTTGTAGGGAAGAGTGATGTAAACAGGGCCTTGCAGGGTGATTTGGCCTATTAGGAGATACTGGTAAGAGCTATTAAGATGTCCAGAAAACACAAGCGTTTACTGTCAAATAATGATGAACAGAGATCTTGAATTCTGAGTGTTTAACAACACACAAAACCAGCAGTTCTTTGCATATTTTGTATTCAAGGTGTATATTTCTGTGTGTGTTATTATGTACCATTTCTTTACTCATTGGAGACTGCTGCTCTTTGAGGCAAGACAGAGACAGGTAAGGAAAATGGAGCACTGTGAAAGTAACACACCACACTCTGTGCTTGAAATGACATGTTAAGTCACAGTAATATTATTAAATTGATATAGCTAAATGAGGTTTGGGTATTAAGATACATAGCCAGTGGACCTGCTGACAAGGGACTCCAGTCGGAAGACTTTGGAGTGTTCTGTACTGTTTCCATCCACATAAAGTCTCTATGTATTGTCTTTCTTTGTAGAAAGATCTAGCTGTTACACAGCAAGTGCAGGAGAGGTTACTTCTGGTTAATTCACCTAGCTTTCAAAAATAATTTTTCAGGTTGATATAGTTAATTATACCCATCTCCCACCATTAAATGTATTCACAGTCCTGATAGGATTTGCACAGAAGACTGCATTAAAATATCAGAAGACTTTTAAAGACCTGTTTTACTGCTAAAAATTCTCAGTTCCACAATTAAGCACTATGTGATTATAGTACTTTGTCATTTAATTCCTCTTTGTTCCTTCTTTCCTTTGCTAATGTATTCTGTAACAAAGTACCTTATTATAAAGCTACTTTTGTTTTTTCTCTGTTACGTTCACACAGACCTCTAACCTGATCCTAGATATTAAAAGTGGCACTTGAGTCTTTGTTTTTGGCTTCTTCTGTTTTGCCATGAGTAAGTTCCTATGTGTAAGTTGGAGATAACTGGAACATCAAAATACATGTAATCAGAATGGTTACAAATGTTAACACTGGCTCACTGTCTATGAATGGTTAATATGTATTACTAATCCCTTAATACTTAGGAATTCAGTAAGATAAAAGTAACATTTCTAAAAGATGCAGGGTTTTTAAACTTTTTTTTTGATGTGTAGTTGTTGGGGTGTAAGTTTGGGACTTTTAAATTTGCTCTTGGGTTTTGGCGGGTAGGGGACTAATGAGTTAATGGACTGCTTTAAATAATGATGTAGGTGTCACTTTGAAATATCTCCTAATGAAAATATTAACTGGGCAGAACAATTATATCCTTGTCCCTGTTCATAATCAGAAAATGCCTTATGTTGGAGACCATACCAATTAACGTGACTTTAAACATAAGTTTGATTTAAGAATTAGTGCACAAGTGCAAAGTCTAAAGGAAAGGCAGTTTGGTGGCAGTTCACGCTCCCATTAAAGACGTGTACTTAAAATGTCCACAGCTTTCTCATCCTGTTGGCTTCTCTGAATGCTTTAATTGTACTTCATGTTTCATATCTATTGCTGATTTTTTTTTTTCCCCCTTCTTTTCTCTATTCTCTTTCAGAAAGATGAGGTGTACCTCAACTTGGTGCTGGACTATGTTCCTGAAACAGTATACAGAGTTGCCAGACATTATAGTCGGGCCAAACAGACACTCCCTATGATTTATGTCAAGGTAGGTAACTGATAGATGTGGTTAGATGAACAAGGTTATTACAGGAATAGACTTTGTGGATACCTCTTTTCTGCCATAATTAGTTTTCTGAAATTTTTAGGAGCACATACATCTTGAGGCAAGGGGAAAAAAAAATTAGAATGATTATTCGTTACAGCGAAGGAAGAATAAGAGGCTTAGAGCAAGCACTCCCGATTTCTCACTTTACAAAAATCTGGGTGTGGGAGACAGTGTGGGGGGAGTGTTTTGTTTTTGAAGCACCTTAGACAGAGACTTGACACCAGCCAAATTAGCAGCTTCAGTTTCCTGAGATGATGAAGCCATAATAGTACAAAGGTCAGGAACTGAAAGAAGATGTCAGGAAGAATAATGCTCTCTTATCTGTTATTTTCCCCTTTTCCTGGCATATAAGTAACAGTTTATGTGCTTCTGTTTTGGGCATGAAAGGTCTATTTTTGTCCTCACTTGAAACTTACTTGGCTCTCATCTTGAAGAGCTATGTGGGGTAAGATGCTCGTATGCACATTGTAGCCTCAAAAACTCACTTAAGTTGTCTCTATCTTTTGTTGTCTTTTACAAAGTGGTTAAACATGGGACCCATATGGGTCTCATAGTTTTATTTCATGTACTGCGGTAACCGCTAGTGAATGATCATGTTTTCACATGCCATCAACTTGTTAACATGGCATCTCCAGCTAACCTTAAATGGAAATTAGCAACAAATATTCCTGATTCATACTGATTTCTCCAGGTTCCTCTTTAAAAGTGTAATGCATAATGTGAGGGCAGGCCTAAGGAAGAACTTCCGTTTGCTCGAAGATGAAAGTTACAAAGGTGAAAGCTACAAATAGTAATTATTCCAATAATGAAATGTTGTGCCATAACAGTATATGCACAGATTATAAGTGGCATGTCTCTGCAACCACCAGCACTGGTGCCTGTTTTTAAGAAAGCACAGAATTTTATCATCCAGCAGTAACAATTTCTACTGCAAGGTCACTCTGTTTGGTCTGTTGGTGGAACAGCATGTCTTCAGGTTATGTGGTCCTCAAAAATCTGTTAGCCTAGCTTTTGATAAATTGTTCATGTATTCTGCTTCAACTCTTTAATCTTGCTGGATACTTGGGACTTCCCATTCCAGGTAGCCTGGAAGGCTGTTCTTATTTTTTTGGCAAGGCAAGCTTTCTCATAATCCTGTATTTAAAAAGATCATGTTACCTTGATGTCATTAAAGCTTTTGCAATTTTCCAGACGTCCTGGCTACGTGAAGTTCAGATCATACCTATTTGTTCACTTCTGATTGATACCTGGGCAGGCAGAGAGCTATTCCTCCCTGGGTAACAAAGAAACTGCTAAAGAAATGCAGGGAAGCTTTTTGTTAATCTTTTTGTTAATTTTTATTTGTAACTTCTAACATGCTGTAAGAAATCAGTGGAAATTTTGGGTTTGTGTGGAGATGAAAGGCGTACTTTCTAAATCCCACATGTGTTGACTTGACTCCTCAAGTTAGAGCAATCTTTTGAGTTATTTTGCAATACACTTGCACAATACATACTTACCATGTCCAGAACAGGCAATCTGAAAACATGTTTGTTTGCTTTTCTTTGTGCAGAGTTGTGGTTTTCGGAAACAAATATGAAAACTAAAGACTTAGAGACAAAACTCAAGTGATTCTCCTCCCACTCCTACCTTCCCTGCCAAAGAAACAACAAAAAACAAGGGAGAGAGAAAGTGTAAAGGCAAAGATAGTGGTGAAAGTGAGGCAAACATGACCTGATATCAATATCTAGCAGTTGCACCCGGTTTTACAGACCGTTAAAGGAGAACCTGTGGACAATGTGCTTAGAAAATAAAAGGATGGAGGTGCATCTCCGGTGCATCTGCCTGTAGCTTGATCTTTAAATGGAAACTTGTGCGGGGACAGAACAGAGAAAACAAAAACCTGGCAGTCTGTTGTCAAGTTCAAACAGGGCATCCCATGCCTTTATGACCGTATATGCTATATGGTCCTAATTGTATCCAGCCCCTCCTTATTCTCCATAGCCAAAAGTGTGTAGCTCCAGCAGCTGGACATCCTCCCCATGCTCTGTAATCTTGCCCTGTGATGCGTTTGGCTTCGTAACGTTTCCTCTTGATGTATTTCTCCTTGCTAAGGGGTTAGCCAGCCTTGGAAAGGGGGTAGAGAAAACTCTCCCTCAGCATAGTTGTGTGCTGTGCCTTGCATAAAATTATTCTGAACAGTTGTTTTTATCTGCCTTCTCTTTTTGCCCAGAGATATGAAATTAAAATGAGTCTGTCCCTTCAAGAGAAACTGAGAGATTCACTCAAGTGACAGGCTGAGACACTACCACAGTCTTTGGGCAACATGTGATATGTTGTTGATAATGTCATCCCCTAAAGGGTTTTCTTTGGGGTCTTGGGGGCAGGTCTTTTTTAATATCCTGGAATACTTAATTTCTATGAAGAGGCTGATATATAAAGCAAACTGAAACACCTTTATTTTGGGTATGTTTTTTATGACTATTATTTATAAATGTAAAGCTGGCACAATTTTTTTTTTTTTTAATTGTGCTCATTTTTGAAAGGACGTGAACAAATTTGAACTGCATGTGTGGGTATGTGGCATAGGACAGGTAAAGAAAGAATGTGAATACCATACCCATCTTCATAACACTAATATGAATTCAGGAAGGTCTTTTTTGAGTGATATTTTTATTTTTTTTTTTCCTTCTAATAAGAGTTTGTACTAAATCAATTGTTTACCCTGTTTTGACTGGGAAAGCATGGCTTGTGTTTCTGTGTTCCAGTTGTACATGTATCAGCTGTTCCGGAGTTTAGCCTATATCCATTCCTTTGGGATCTGCCACCGGGATATAAAACCACAGAACCTCTTGCTGGACCCTGATACAGCTGTTCTAAAACTCTGTGACTTTGGAAGGTAAGCACATCTGTGGCCTAAAACATGGTGAAGAGAACTTCCTTCAAAGTGAACGTGGGTGCAACTTTGCAAAGAAATCCCCTGTGTTCCTCTGAAGGTCTTAATTTGTAGTTTTGAAAGAGAAATTATTGATACTCTATTTTCCTCTTACATTGAGTTCATATTGGGGGGGAGAGCTGGAAAAAGATAGCAGGAGGGAGGGAATTAAAGTTCAAGCCTGTTACTTATGCAGATATTGGAAAAATAAGTACAATGTCACATAGGGAAAATACTGTGCCATGGAAAAATACAACCGAATATTAGGGTGAAATGTGTTTGGGGAAGGGAGACAGGCACAGTGGCATAGTAACCTAAAAAGGTTAATGTTACACTTTATTGGTTTACTTGTGCATACAATAATTCACTTACTATTTCAAATATGATAGAGGCTCAAGATGAGAAGCAACAATTCTAATTGAAGCTCCTAGATAGTGGACATCTGTATCCTAGTTTCCACTGGCACATTTGTTTCCAGTATCCATTCAAGTGAATCACTTTTAGAGTCCAGCCCCCCATTTTAGAACTGATACAGAAATTCTGGGAGACCACACTGAGACAGGAGACAGACCTCTCTGAGAAAAATCAGTCTTTAGATTGTTCTATAACTTTGCAGACTGAAATAGTTGGGGCGTATGTGTCAGAGGTCACGAAAACTGCTGTTGCTAAATTCACTTGCCCGTAGCGAGTGGGATTGTCAGATGGTGGTTATTCAAGCAGTGCTTCATCATGCCCAGTGGCTTTGGAATCTCCTCCTCCACTCTACCTCACTAATGTTGGAGTAAAATAGGAATTGCATTGAAACTGAAAAGTAACAATGAATAAAAAGGTGGTGCTTTCTCTGTGTTAACAGTGAGGACTTGTTAATTGTTGTTTCTTTATAGAAAACAGAAAACAGAGACCATTTTAAAACAGGCTAAGTGGGTTGTGGGAGTCCTCCTCTGAAGTCTGAGAGGGGTGTTTGGAAGGCTGGACATTGGATTTGGCTGGCTTTCCACTCTGCTGGCTTTGGTGCTGCTTAGTTGAATGTCATATTTCAGAAAGAGCAGTTTTGTATTCCAGCTCCTTTCCATCTAACACTTGTGTTAATTAATAAAGAAGTATAATATGTTTATAGGCTCATGTCCCAAAAGTAATGTGCTATCATGTTCCTTTATTTTCTTAAATTCTTCCAGAGGTAGTGGTTGGGGCAGTACTGTAAGTTAGATCCTTTGTGGCTGATCTCTTGCAGTATAAATCATGGACCATTAACATGTCACTACAGAGGCAAAGTTTTTTTCCTTTGTTGCTTCATACCACATTCCCTTAAACAGCAAAAAGCCAGAATATTCTGATGGAAACTTAAAAAACAAAACAAACAAAAAAACTCCACCCTCCCACCACCCACCCAAAAAAATAAAAAAACACCAAAAAAACCCCCTCTTAGTTCTGGTGAGTATCCAGAGCTTTTGACCCTTAAAAGGTAATTATGTTTGACTGAAGTGTATTCTGCCCTCTTTTTCTTTGTAAACAAACCTTTGTACCTGGTAAAAGACAACTGCCAGCCAAAAATCTGACCCTATTTATCACTTAAATTATACTCAGAATTTCCTTTGCTATGTCCATTATAAGGTTGATGGATTGGACTGATTTCATGCTAAATCATTGAGTCTGTGACTTGCATCAGTTCAGAGCAACATGGTACTGTAGCACTTAAAAAAAGGGGGTGGGTGAAGAGTGCCAAAGCTTAATGTTGGGTCTGCACTGCAATACTATAAAACTGTTAATTAGTGAAAAATAATACCGTTTTGTTTCCTTTTCAGTGCAAAACAGCTGGTTCGTGGAGAACCTAATGTCTCATACATCTGCTCTCGGTACTACAGGGCACCAGAGTTGATCTTTGGAGCCACCGATTATACCTCCAGTATAGGTATGTGTGTGTATTCGTTGAAATCCGTACCAACTGCATGAGTTTTTATTCTGTAGTCAAGTGTAAAGGTTTCCAGAGATCTCAGCTATGATTCCCAGAGGCAGAATTTTATTGTGAACGGTGAGGTACCACTTCTTAACAGAATACATGCATTTTGAGATAGCTGCTGTGATTTCTATGCCTTTTGAGATTTCAGTGTCAATTACATTAGAAAAGGGGCTGCTTTAATATATGAAGGGAAATCTGATTTCAAACAAAAAAATCCAGGTAATTTTGTCATTTAGTTTAAAAGTAGGTATGAGATCTCAAGTCAGAAAAGCACTTTGATGACTTAAAATAACTGTGAATAATGACTGTAGAAATATCAACTATTGCATCTGATATGCTGTGATTTAGACACAAATAATTCTGTAACTTACTTGACTTTTAGAAAAGAGTTTTTAGTGGGAAAGAAAAGGTGGGCTAAGGATTGGATCTAAGCTTTCTTGACAGTTTTAATGTATTGCGTACAGCAGTCTTCCTGATTCAATGTACTCTCTAAACATTTGCTATCCTTTAGTCATTAATGTTGAACATGGAGAAGACTTCTTTCTAATACCTGGCATGTAGCTGTGTTGTGGAAGTGTTAGGGAAGCTGGAGGTTTTGGCAAAGAACAGGAACAGCCGAGTTTTCGTACAGTGGAGTCCTAAAAATGAGCAGCAAAATGAAAAAATCATAAAAATGACAGCAGTGTGTTGGCTGGTTATGGATAGCTGCTTCAGTTTTTTTAGTCAAGATGTTCCCTGAGCTCCTTCTGAGTGCTAGTGCTAAAGAGATGATTTTTGGCTCTCAAGTTTCCCAATATTATGCTAAGCTATTACGTTGCTTATGGACCTGAGTTGCTTAGGCAAGGTTTAATGTGTTCCAAAGGATTTGGAGATCACAATCAAGTCTTGGCAGAATATGTTTATGACCAGTTAAAGTATGTTTATGGTTAGTATGTTCTAGCTAGTGTTAAACTCAGTGGCTGGCTGGCTCATTTCAACTTTGCAGTTCTTTGAAAAAAGCATTCCTGAAGACTTGCCTGCTCTCACTAATTTTTTTTTTTCAGTAGTTATTCTTCAGTATATATTGTAGCAACACTTGCATATCTCTCTGGGGGGGGAAGGGGGAAGAGGCAGAACCATAAGTAGTCTGGGGAAAATAGCAGTATAATAAAAATAAAAAGGCAGAACTTATTTAATGGTCGGCTGCTGCCCAAAGTGGCAGCTCCAGCCCTACTTTTTCTTGCCCCTGGATACCCTAGCTCTTGCCGCTTACTGTTTAATGCACTCATTCAGCTTCAACTGACAAGAGACACTTGGTTAGGCTAACTTTCTGCTACATTAGTGAGTTGAATCAGCATTACTGTGTAGTCTGATAAGCAGCAGAGCCCAGGTAAAAGCAAAATGGCAGGAGCTTGTGAGCGAGAGGAAGGAGGCTTGTCCTGGTTGATACCTTTTTGCCAGATGAGAGCTAATAGATTGGCTCAGCTGTGTTATCAGAGTGCACTGAGACAACTTGTTTCAGAGGATAACTGCATAAAACAAATATTTTAGGTGTCACCAGAAGAAACTGCTTTATAGATAAGCCTGTGAAATGTCTCTTGCTCTAACTGTATAATGACTTTAATCTTGCACTTGTTTGCAGATGCTTTTTAAAGTTGTTCATTTTTGTTATCTGCTGGGTCTCTAAAATAGTTCTAATAAAAATAGCATTGAGGAGTCCATTTTTCCACTTGCTAAAACCATCATGGATTTCAGTAATTGTTCAGACTTTCTCGTGTCCCCCCCCAAACCCTGTTCCCCCACACCCCTTCTCTGCAGCTTGCACAGAATAGCTTGAAAATTAAGTTTAGCAAATACTCCTTCATTCCTATACTTTCCTCCCTCCACTTCCTTCTCAGCAGAGTCTTTTCATTTCTGAGCTGAGAAGGAATAAAATGCTTTTACAAACTTTGCAGTTTCCCAGTGTTCTGCAATACATTAGAAATTCTAGGAGTTTAGTTTTGTAGTGCTGCTGTTTCCAGTGGTGGCAAATGCCAGGATATTCCTTAGTTCTTGCTAGATACGCAGCAACAGCACTTCATGAGAACTCTTCCCTATTTCATACAGGATTGCTCATCCAAACTCAACCGGCATGATCTGTACACCAACCAACAAGGACAGATGGGTTACTTAAGAGAGGGAGAGGAACATTTAATTAAGAGTACCTTATCCATAGCTCGAAGTATAGGGAACTGTGAAATGCTTCAGTGTTGTAATACTGCATTTAAACTTTTTTTTTTTTTAATGTGGACATGTTTGTGTTTTCTAGTTCTTGTTTTCTGAATTGTCAGCACAACAGCCTTTTCTTGCTATACAATCTTTTTCTCTATATAAAGAATCCACTTGTGTGTGTGTGTGGTAACAAAAACTGAGCTTACGTGTAAGATAGGGATCTTCACTCTTCTGTTTAAATATACTATCTTAAAACTATATTAAAAATAAAATCAGTGAAAAATATGAAGCCAAAAAGTGTTCTAAGCAGAACTTTTTTGTACATTATCTGTGAGGCATCCAGCAGTTTTCGTAAGGTTTCTGTTGTTTGCTAATATTGCTGCAGGGCTTATGATTGTAACACACTTCAATATAGTAATTATTGGAAGTATTTCTGATCAAGAAGTGCTTCTTAAGCCTAGGCAGTGACATTCTGGTGGCCCAAGACTGACAGTACAGTCAGCCTGCTTCATGACCGTTTCAGTAGTTAGTCATCCTCGTTTCACACTGTAACCAGGAGTTGCATTAGGCTGTCTGGCTTTGTGTAGGTTGTCTTTTAACACATTAATTTGTCCTTGCGACATTACTTGCTTTTCAATGTAGCAGAAACTGACGTTGGTTCTGGGATGTGTCTTTTCATCCTGGATGTAATAACAGAACTGTAAACTGGCTCTTAACTTCTAGGATCGTGATTATTTCACTGAAGTGCATGACTTAAATTCTAACCCAAAGAGGTCCCTTTAAAAATAACTCACAGCCGGGGGTAGTGTTTGTTGCCCTTTTGTGAAGTACTGCATTAGTGCTGTATTTAAATATATATGATAGGAAGAGTAGCATCAAAACACATTTACTGCAGTTAACACCTCTGTGTGTGTCATCCAGCAGACCTGGGACTATTGTTAAAATAATGACCTGGGAAATGACCTATTCACGTTTTTAAATAATCCCTGTTGCTGAATAGCTACAAATCCAGGCCCATAATAGCTCTGCCTGCATTACACCTTCTAAGGGATTTTTTTCAGTGGTCAAACACAAGCATTCATGTCAGTAGGGTGCCTTCACACCTGTACAGTTTGTGCCTTTGTGCACCTTTGACCAAGGTCCACCAATTCTGCGACTGTGTGCGTGTCCCTAAGGCTTGCTGGGGTTTTGTTCCTGCAGCTGATTTGCTGGAATACTGGAGTTTTTTGTTTTGTTTTGTTTTGTTTTGTTTTTTTTTTTTTGCAAACCAAGCCCTTCAGCTATCCCTTGAGAGTGTTTAGGCTGAAGCTTCTTCCTTGCCAGGTCTGTGCGTGTTGCGCCCTCCCAGAGCGTGTTGCTGGCATGCTGCTGGCCACACTGGTCATAGGGGTGGGTGCTGTAGCCTGCTGAAAAACCATGGGATGGCTGCCCACATTCCCTTACAACATACTGGGACAAATGTTGGTTCTGGAGCAGGGGTGGGTGCAGGTGTTTCTGTTGCCACGTGATCCTCTTGTATAAAAAGAAGCTGTGCAGTTAAGCTTTACCTCCATAACATGCATTTTTTTGCTAGGTTAGGTGACAGGGCGATGGAGGTCTCACCAGAATGTGGTGGTGCTTCTAGATAACAAGGGTCTGCTGGTTTCAGCGTGTTTTCTCTGTCACTGCACTGGTGGGAGTTGAGAGCATTCCAGAGGGAACATTTATAGCCACTGGCAAGGAAAGATTGATCTGCGTGGCTGTATTGCTGGCTTCTCTTGGAGCATCCAAAAATAAGTATCCTGAAGTTATTCATTCACTTGCCTAGTTGAGCGCTAAGACAGAGGGAGAGAGTATTTCACCTCAGCAGTCTGGAGCAGAAACTCCTCTGAGAGCGTGTGTAGTTCATCTGTCTCGATTTCTTGGGGAAGAACCATCACAGGGTGTGTCCCAAACCTGTTGCCAAACAATGAAAAGTATTTACTTCTGTCTCAGATGGCAACTTCTAATGCTGAAAATAAGCATGTGTGTTAATTTACTGAACTAGTCTATCACCTGTCATTGTAGTTTCATCTCTTCCTTGCAGAAGAATAGATACCCGTGTTTAGCTTTTGTTCCAAATACTGCAACAGGCATGGCTTTCCAAGTGTTTTCAGGTTTCAGCCTTGTTCTGTCTCCATAATCTGTGAATCTGTGGTGGCTTGATGTGCAAAGCTTGAACCCAACATAGCATGTGTGCCCATAATCCAGAATTTGCTCTTGTTCTCACATCCCCAAAACTGTTCAAATACAAGCAGCAGTGAGAAGCACTTCGGGCTCTGACGTTTGGCAACTAGAAGCTGATGATTTTATGACTTTCTAGGGCTGCTTTTCTGACTCCTGGTTTCTTCCCTGCTAGTTTGTTTCTGCAGTTTCCAGAGCAGAAACTTTGAGTCACGTCCAAGATGAAGTCCATCAAAATCAAGGGATAGTGAGGCAGAGATGAATTGATGGGGGGGTGGGGGGAGTGAACATGAAAAGGTAAATGTGCCCCATAAAGTGCCAGATAAAGAAGAGTTCTTAATTTGTACTAAATGGATGAGAGCAGGCACAACTTTATACAGATAGCAAGTTTAGAGGAGCTGGAGCGTGATACAATGAATGGTGCTCATGCTGTGAGGGAGTAGGCCAGCTTCTCAGCTTGGAAAGACAGAGTTTGAAATCACAAAAATTAAATTAGCGGTCAGGGTATTCTGTCACAGACAACTGGAAATGGCCATTGCTCACTTGTCAGAATTAAGTGTATTTTGCAGGTTGTCCTGCCAGATGCACTTCCTGAACTAAAGAGAAATTTTCATAATTACCTTCTCTAATGTTGGAATGGCATTCAAAAGCAAGGGAATTATACAGATGATATTATTAGACAAGTTAATGTCCACCTGACAGCTATGAAGATCAATAAAGTAATAGAAACTTAATTTTTAAGAAAAGTTTCATAGTAAAAGAGGCTACATGTATTTGTTTAAGTTAGTGCAGGTAGTTCATGTGATAATGGTATTTGTCTAAGTGTTCTTCAGTCTACAAAAGATATGCCATTAGCTACTATTACAGTGTGTGAAAGCTACCTGAAATAAGCTTATTGAAGGTTGATTTGGTTGGTAGTTGCATTTACTGTCCATATTGTTTAGACCAGGTTTCAGCGAAGTTATGAAGAAAGTGGCCTTGCCTACTTTCTTCTACTTAAAATTAATCGCTTTCAGTATTTTCTCCTAAAATTTCACATTGTCCTAACTAGTTTGGCATACAGATGATTTGTTGACTAGTTTTCTGTTAAGGTCCCCTCTCGTTTATTAACTGGATTAAAGCATGTCAATGATAGTCTTATTGCCTTAATTAAATGGCACATATTAAAAAGAAATAGTTTAGAAAATGTTTCTCCTCCCATGGGAGTGTGTAGTTACACTGCAAGCTTACTCTGAAAGATTATTAATCCATAGTAGTTCACCGTGACTGTGCTAAGGCAGAAAAGGACCTGGGAAGGAGCTATCAAAAATGAATATTAAATACTTTACCACTTCTCTTAAGTAATATGTCTTTAAATATAGAATTTAGTACATTGTTTACTTCAGGCTTGAGAAGTGTTACCATCCAGATTTGGAAGGTAAATTTTAAAATGCCAAATTTAAAGAAGGGGGGGGGGGGGGGGAAGACAAACTATCCCAGAGCCAAATTTTAGTCCTGTTAAAGCAGATGGCATAAATTCCATCAAGTTGCAGCAGAGCTGAAATTTGCTATTTTTTGTCCTTATTGTACATTGCTCACCAGAGTTGTATAAACACCTATGTAAATTGTGTTTTGTTGCCATCCCTGCTTGGAGCTGCTGAAATTAGCCTCTGCTCTCTGGTTTTCACTGAGGATGCTTCAAGGGTTTGTTCACTTCCTTGCCGAGGGAACATTGCCCAAGTCCTAATTTGGAAGTCGGTAAAATTACACTCCTGGGAAAAAAATTGGGGATTTTGGAATGCCTGTAGCTTATTTCCATGTTTGTTTAAAGAGTTAGCAATAAAAATCAAGGAAAATGAAGTAGACTTTTAATAAGGCATTAAATCACCCAATTTGGAAGATTTCACTGCATGAGGCACAACTACATAGGTTTCTGATGGATTTGTTGTATGTTTGATGGATTAAACCCATCACAAATACAGCAAGTATTCCTCAGATTTCTCCAGCTATTTCCTCATGACCTACATCGTTTCTTTTTCTCCTTCCCTTCTGCCATGCCCTCAGCTATCTCATGTACTCTCTGCTGCTTCTGCTTGGCCTTCTTGCTTGAGCAAGGACTTGCATGTTCTTGATTTGTTTGCAGTTGCAGTTTGGCAGGGTGAAGATAAGCCCAGCATGTCCTACAGGGACTGAGCCCTCCTCTCCTCAGCAGCAACGCTGATGCATGCTCTCCCCTCTGTTTTTACAAAACTTCTGTAATGGATTCAAGACTTGTGCCTTTCAGCCTTGTCTGAAACTGGCTGGTGGAGCACGAAGGCATTTAGGGAGACTGGGAAAGGATAAAACAGCACAAAGCCAACTTCATGGAGCAGCCAAACCAGAAGGATATTTGAAACACTTTTAAAAAGTCACAGTCTAATTTTAAAAAAATCATGCTAGTGTAGTTTCAGAATTTTAAGAGAGTGAGTTGTGAATGCTTACTGTCACATCAGCTTTGGGTTTGTGTATGTTCTAATACTTTTCCTTCCCGTATATTGTTTCATTTTCAGTGCAAAATAGGGATTGAAGTTATAAATAATGATTATAGCTTTGGGGCACCACTTGTTTTGTATAGTCAGTGTAAAGAACTTAACTTTTTCAAAACCATTTAAGGTGCCTTTAAATCAATTTTTAAGTTAGAGCACTCTGCTTAGTACATTTAATCTGTTTCTCTGATGCATCTGAAGAAATCTAGGCTATCTGTTGAACTGTTGTGTAATTTCCTATAAGCCCATTATGCATGGAATGACATAAAAAGTGATTCTTTGCATCATCTTTTTGTTGCGTGTGTTGGTCGAACAGCAGGAGCTGTCAGAGAGATGCTGTGTTGCAGTCAGATGCAATTAAATGTTCTTTACATGATGCCTCTTTCGTTTGTCGTCCAAAAGAGATCTTGGTACCTTGGTGGCGATACTGACTTTTATTAAATATGATTAAAAAATCAAAAAGTGTAATCTTGTACGTGTACTTGTTGAAATTCAAGGCTCAAAATTCTGGATTATTTCTATTTGCTGTATTGTAACTAGTTACTTCTTAGGATAAACCCTAATGTGATGTTTGTACTTAAGCATTATGTAAAAATGCATCCATTTGACTTAGAGGTGAATGATTTTGAAAGCTACAGTAATAAGCAATGCTTTTCATCTACCATATGTTCTGATTGAATCATATCTTCATTGAGAAGGGGGGAAGTATTTTTGCATAGCCCCTTTCTCTTTTATTTAAAAATGGGGGGAAAGTCTGTTCTAGCTTGCAGATTATCTTGTTACCAACCTTGAATTCCTGAAAGTTTTTTTTTTTAATAATTTTTTGCACTGGTGTCTAGTGGTTGTGACAAAGTTATGATAGACTGTTTAGAGAACTGTCAGAGACATTTTCCTTATAGAGCCCTTCAGCCGTAACTGACAGGGTTGTGTGTATTCTGTTTCCCAATGGCATAAATACACTGGGGGAATAAGGATTTCTGTTGTAGCATGGGTTATCTTGGTTTGGAACAGACCTCAGGAGGTAAATTCTCTGGTTTTTGAGTTGTGGTGATGCTACTGTTATTGGTGGGGAGTGGGGGACGGCAAAGGTTAGCTCGTAAAGGTAGGTGTGAGTTCAAAGAAAGGGGTAGAAGGGGACTGGTTTTGTTCTTTTTCCTTTTGGGGCATTACAGTATTGTAGGCTTTACAAATCTTCTGTTACTGATTGCTTATTTGAGGTTAGTTTTCTAGTGGTAAGGTTTCAGATATACATTGAACAACTCATGACTTCCTAGAAAACCTTGTACTCAATCTTTTTTTTTGGTGGGGAAGAAGCAGTTACCTATGCATCTAGGTGCAATACTTCTACTGTGAGCAGCTTAAACTTCAGTATTTCATATGCAGTTACAGCAGATTCTCACAAACTTCTACTGTGAGGTGTTTACTGCACTTGCTTAATTAGATTTTTTTCTTGAATGAACAATGTTTCAAAAGTAAAACGCTATATTCTGTACTACACTTAAATACATTCTTAGGTTGCTGTTGTAGGATTTAATTGTCTTATTTATATGTAAGAATATATACCTGTAAGAGATGATGAAAATTTTCTTCATGTAGAGAAGTAGCTGCTAGTGACTACTTGTGGCTTTTGATATATGTATGAAAATTAGTTGATGACTTCTTCTGTGGATAATAGATCAGACCTGATCTATGACTTTCAGTTCTGTTGTCCAGCCACGTTTGCAGATGGAATTGGGATAAAGATTAGGTCTTGATGTGACTGAGTTAGAGAGGCTGTCTCCCAGATCCCTTAATCATCACGTACTGCAGGATACAAGTAATACCTGCAATACTGGTTTGTCTGCTAGTATATATATGCTTTCAATATAGGGATAAAAAATTGAGTCTATTCAACATTCACAAACAGTAAAAACATCAGAAATTGTGGTGGATGATAGCTACACGTAGTTCATGATCAGGGTGATTTAGAAACAACACAGGGCTTTGGGAAATTCTTAGTTTTCACATGGCAAATGTTCTCAGGTCTTTTCCCTACATGTATAGGTTTTATTGTCAATATATTATGGTGTTTAACATTATTTTCCAGTTCTTATTGTATCATGGTTTGACTTCTAAGACTGTCTTCCCACCGTTGCTTTATGCCAGTTATCTATTTTCTAGATTAATATTTAGGAGAGGAATGTTTTTGGTTTCAGTTGTGTTGTATACCCTATTCAACATGGCAAAGACTAAAGTATCTTAGAATTGCTGGTTTTGTATAAATGGCCTAATACATAACTTTTACTGATACCTCTCCCTTCCTCCCTCTGCTCTCCCTTTTTTAGATGTGTGGTCAGCAGGCTGTGTATTGGCTGAACTGTTACTAGGACAACCAATCTTTCCAGGTGACAGTGGTGTGGATCAGTTGGTGGAAATAATCAAGGTATGGAATTTGAAGTGTTTTAACTGCGTTGTTCCGTGGGAATCAGCATGAAAACATGCAGTGTTATAAACTTGTCAACATACATATTCTGTCACCGTTGTACAGGGTGTTGCATGTAAACTGCATTTGAAAACAATTCTCACGCTTTTTGAAGAACTTGATGATCTTTACTTGCCCCTCTTGCAGTCATGGAAAATGGCATATCATATTTCAGTGATACAGTTTTTATTCCCTCTTAAAGGATTGCACTTCCAGTGTGCTTGAAAATAGTGCTTACATACTGAGCCAATATTTATTAATGTGTGATTTTCATTCTTTAGGAATCTGGCTCTTTTTCCTTTGTTGCATGCAATTAGTACTTGGCTTTGAAAACAGTGCTATTAAATTTCCTTGTGCCAGATTATTCACATATGTAGCCTTCTTCTCTTCCTTCCTTCCTTCTAGCTCTTTGAGGTGACAGGGGAAAAAGGGCACTCCTTTTTACAGATGGAGAATCGGGAAATGTAGGTCAAAGGTACCTTCCACCTGAAGGGTCTTGTTTTTCAAGTGAAAAAGACCTAATGTTGCAGAATGCATAACGTTTTTATATCACTTATGTCCAAACACATCTTGATTGATTTCATTTGATAAACTGTGAATATTCTGTGATTCTCAAATTAGAGGCATGGAAGAATAATTCATAACTTAAAAGACTGGTGTCTGACTTCCCAGCACCCTAGTCTCCCCCACCTCCTCCAACTTCCGCAATGAAGGAAGCAAGATTTCTACAGAGCACGGTATATTTTTCCTCTGAATCTATATTATGCACTAAATAAGAAGCAAATATTACAGAGGATAAGTTGTATGCACACACTGTTTGGCTTTACTGATTTCATCACCACAAGGGGACTGCATTAAGACAATTTCCTCCTTGGTTTTGCCACTTAACTGCTACCTTGATGCATGTGTATTTCTGTGGTATGCATGTGAAAACCCCCTCAAAACCAGAATATGTGGGTGTGAGAGTACAACTTGCTACTTCTGTCTCTGTTATTCACTAGAAGAGCTGCTGGTGTCTTTGTCCCCGTCCCAACACAGTGTATGACACCAACCGACGCCAAGTGGTCATCCTCCTGCATGGAGGACACAGGCTGGTGAGGTTCAGTGTTTCTGTGGCCTGCTCTGTGGTCTCAGTGGGGCATGCTCTGACCTCTCTAGGCTCTGGCCACGTCTCCTCCAGCTTTTGACCATGTAAACCTAGTTTCTTTTACAGTGGATTTCTGGCTGGCTGGCTGAAATCCTCCAGTTGACAACTTTCCTCTGAAGCCTTCATGTCTTGCACCTACTTCTCCTATGACTTTCTTGATTTCTTATTACTGCCTTTCTGCCCAGTGTATTTCAAGTTCAGCATATCCAAGTTGGGTCAGTTTACATAGGGAAAACTACGATTGCTGTCAGAAGTAGGGCTGATTATGGCACAGGTGACTATTTTTTCCTTTTGAGAAGGGTCTTGGAGCAGTGCACTGCTTTCTGCTACACTGCTTTTGTGAGTTGTGAAGTGGTCCCTGTGAACACTTTAGATGGCCAGAGTTCCTCAGGAGTTCATGCAATAACCTGTGGCATTTGCCCTTGGACGTTTTCAGAAAGTCCCGTTTTGTTTCTTGATCAATGTCTGCAATCCTGAGAAACACTGAATGAGTTTTTCATAAATACAACTGTCTGTGTCACGGTGACAGTCGTGCAAGTCCTTCCTTGGCTCAGTCAGAAATCTGGGAATAAACAGGCCTTATCAGCAAATCATAGTGCTCTGCCTTACCATTGCTTTGATTTTCATAATGTGGAAGTAAAATAGTCAGGAAATAGATGTCCTCTCACTACTGACATGCTTTCCAAGCAGAGACTGTGGTTTGGTTCAAAGTTTGCTAGAAGTTGTTATCAGTTGGATGTTTTCTGTTCTGCGGTACTGGAAGTAAACATCTGTGAACTAAATAATTTTATAGCACATATGTGCTTCGATTGCGATGATTTGGTTTTGTTCACACTTAAGTTGTACTGAAGCAGAGGTGTACTTTAATAAAATTGCTCATAGCCTATGTACCATCTGTGGTTCTTTAAATGACACTACTATGAGTGGTATGGTAATCGATTCACCAGGTTCATAGCTGAATACATAGTACTAGCAAACTAATGTTACTTATGACAGCCAAAGGAGTATCCAGTGTAAAGGCTTGAACTTCAGTAATTTATAGCTTGAGATAATGATTTTCACCTCTGCAGAAACAAATTTCTGAGTCATTTCTTTAAATGTGGAGAGAGGGTTACTGAATGATCATCAACACCTGTGTTGTGTTGGGGTTTTCTGATCTTCTGTTAGATATGTAGTCCCTATGCATAGAAATTAAGTGAAACAAATACAGGGATAATTCCATTTTATAGTAAGCCTGGTCTCTTTAACTAAAAAGTTACCGTACTAAGTACGTTTTGGGAAAGTCTGAGAGAACAAATGCAGTAAATCTTGCAATAGTAGTCAGAAAAAAGGATGTTCGCTGTATCATAAGGGAATATGATGAAAATTGTGAGCCCAGATGGGTGGGTGCCATGAATATTTTTCTGCCTGTATATTTGTTACTGGGGCAGCATATATTCTCAAGACAATACTGGGAGAGAAAATGAGTGCAAACTGCAGAAGTGGACTATGTGTCAATGCCCTTGTCTACCAAATCTTGTGTTGTGAAGTTTTTCTATTCAGAAAAGCCCTGGCAGAAGGCTAAGGTAAGAGTAAAGAGTTATAACTGAGAACACTGCATTCAAAATCAACAGTCATGAGAAGCTGTCTAGAAAAGTGCATGAACTGGGCAATAAGATGCTTCCTTTTAATGCCGTACCCACTGACCCGCACATTTCATATAGTGGGAGAAGAGGGTGAACAGCACATTTAATTCAAATCTAAAGTAATTTTTTCTCACCTTTTGAGAATGAGGAAAAAGCAGAAAGTGACATCTTCAATTTTCCATTCTGCCAGATGTTGACATAGATCTGTCCCATCTACTATGTATCCCTTAAAAGTGACCATAGTCAAATTTTGATTTTCAAATCTGCAAAGAAGTCATGAAACATTCAGCTGTTCTCCACTCCAACATGATGCTTAGATTTGAAAGGTTAGCATAAAAACTGCAACCTGTGTTTATTGAATGAGCTTGGGTTAAAGATATATGCAATTCTGCAGCATAAAAATTACCAGAAATGTTAAGTCTTGGGCACATTGTGTAAAATGTTAGATTGTATAAGTTTTTATTTAGAAGAGGATTAATTTTTAAAAATACTTTTACAGATGGTGTCCAGCTCTTCCATTTGCTGCCATAGAATACTACTGTTTAAAGCTTTTATCATAACACACTTATCTTAATGCTAGCTGGCTGTAGGAGAAGTAGAGCTGTGGGGTCTGACAGTTGCAGAATAGCAGTGGACTTCCTAGAAAGTTGCAGGTTGGGACCTGTGAGCTGCTGTTTGATTATCTTGGAGTCATACTTTTCAGATAGCTTAATTGGAACTGTATGTCTGAAACATAGGGACAGAGAAAATGGAGTATTTTAAACTCCCAAAATGGGCTATAGTAAAAAAAAAAAAAGTATATCCACACATTTGGAAATCATCTGACTTTCATCTCTTAAATTTACTTGATTCCACTGCAAGAGAGGACAGCTTATAAACTTTTCTGCTGGTTCATATCAATTCAGGATGACTGAGTCACAGTTGTAGCATATTTTGAGCCAAAATGAATTTTTCAGTTGTCTCTTCAGTTGCTTACTCAGCTTTGACTATTCAGAGTTCATTTCATGACACAGCAATTGGATGCTACACCTGAGTACGAAGTTTTTCCGTTAGGCTGGAGAATGACTTCAAAATGCCATCACATTAAACTGGTCCTCCCTTCTCATGCAGTTCTTGATGACATCCCCTCAGTAGCTGTGTTCATGAAGATAGCCTTCCTGTGATACATCATTTGGCATGGTTTGTCCTTCCTGCAGGCTGCATGCCCAATGTCCTTGCTGCATCAGAAGCCTTTTCGGCTTTTGTCAAATACTGAGTCACTTTCAGCAGTCCTCACATAGTTTCATTTCAAGCAGTCTTGCAAGACCTCCATCCAGTTGCATCTTGAGTTTCTCCAAGTCTGCAGCACGTTTGCAAACTGCTTTGAAAAACTATGCCCCTCTTAAGACCACAGCATCACGTTTGTATGAACCAAAAGACAGTCCCCTTATTTTTAGCTTGTTTTTCTTTTGTTCCTATTTCTTTAAAGACGGTCTTTCCAGATGTTCCAAAGCTGGCTGGGAAAGAGAGATCTTTGACCACTTACCCCTGACAAAATAATATTTGATATAGGGAAATACTGTCTCAGAGCTCCATCTGAAGAAATAATTTAACTCAAGTACGGTCTTCTTGAATACTTACACTACTGCAGGAGACAAATCACGTGCTGTGCTTTTTCCAAAGTTTGATGGTGACTCTTCCTCCTTATTTTTAGCTCTTGCTAGCTAATCCAAATGTTAGGTTATCCCATTGCTGGGAATATCTCAAGTTGGTAACCCGATACATTCATTAAAATTCATGCCCCTACTGGCTTTCGAGTGACATCTCCTTCAGAAATGTGCTCAGTTTCTGAAGCAGGCACGGTGGCAGTGTGGGTTTCATCAGTGATTGCATAAAGAAATTATGTATGAGTAAACGCTACGCCTCAGAGCAGTCATGTAGTCCTGTCTGCAATGGAAGGGTGAAACCTCTCCTTCCAGCAGCCCAGGAGGGTTGCAGTTGCCATTTCCCTATTTAAAATCCACTCTGCAAGTTGACTACTGCTGAAGACAGCTCAAAAGAAGGAGCTCTTAGACCACAAGAGGGATTTTTTGAGAGGCAGTCAGGGCAGACTCTGTCATAAGTCTCTAACCTTGTGCACGCAGCTAGCAGTGCACCAGCAGTGTCCGCAGGACTGTCATGCCCCCTTGTGAAAGTTTGGGAGGTTGGGG